TAGATATCAACAACGACCACAACAACGACAACAGAAGCAGAAGCAGGAGCTGTACCAGCGACAACCACACAAACCCTCGATAAAAATTGACCTCACAGACACTTCACTAATGTGTGATTGTGCACTTGTTAAACAGCTGCTACGATTAAGTTACGGATACCTTTACGATCCCGACTATTCGTTACCGACCGATCCGAAGTCGATTAAATACGGTTATTATCCTCTCTTGGAGTTCATTGTTCATCCAGAAAACATCCGTTGCAGATCGGATTATGTTTATAATGTTTATAATAACAGTCACAACAACAAAGATACTAACAACAACAACAACAACAACAATGATAATAATAATAATAATGATGTAAATAAATATTATATTTATAATTACACCAAAAATCTTTCCCAAAAATTAGTAAAATTTTCTAAACGTCTGCCAAAAATGCCGACTGAAAATGAAATGAATCTTATCGAATATTTAAAGAGCTCTGACTGCTTGAAAAACTTTTGCTTCCCGAGACAATGCATCTGCCATTGGATCGGTATTCGACTCGACTCGATAAATTGTTCCAGCAGATCCCTGAAAAAACTCCCCAACCCTGAATTACTCCAGCCCAACACTGCGGAATACAACCTGTACATCCCTAAAGACATCATCCCCGATAGCGTAGCGATAATACCGAACATACTAAAAACCGTCATCACCCTAGACATATCGAAAAACTCCATAGACAACTTAGATCGATTTTCTAGCGCTGTATTGCACTTCAAAAACTTGAAAACAATCCACATAAACGATAATAAATTGGCGAGTTTACCGGTATCGCTGTCCGAATTGACGAGATTAAGAGCGATTACATTGAGAAATAATCCGATTTGCTGTCACTGTAGCGGCGCTCAAAGCAGGGATGTGCCATATACCGAACGATTACTTAGCCGGTTTTTAGGATTAGTATCGGATATACACCAAGTTGATTGCGTCGAACAAGATAATGATCGTAGTAGTAGTAGCAGTAGTAGTAGTAGTAGTGGTGGTAGTAGTAGTAGTGGTAATAACAATAATAATTTTTCCCTTGTTAATGACATTGTTAAAATTGATGGTGATATTAATGATAACAACA